AAAAAAAAAAAAGAAAAAGAAAAAAAAAAGAAAAAGAAATATAGAAAAATGAAATAATTTATTGTATTTTATCAGACCACAATGGGGTAAAACTAGAAATCAATAGTAAGAGAGACTATGGAACATACACAAACTCATGAACAATGACCAACACCTTATTGAATGATGAATGGGTCATGAATAAAAGAATGAGAGCTGGGAAAATGGCGCCCTGGTAAAGCACTTGCTGCACAAACACAAGGACCTGAGTTTGATTCCTCTAGTACTTATTTAAAAAGCCAGGCATAGTTACATCTGTAACCCCAACACTAGAGACTGTAGAGAACAATGGGCCTCAGAGCTCTGTGGTTGGCCTGTGTAGACAAAGCAGTGAGCTCCAGATTAAGGTAAAAACCTTGTCTCAAAAAGTAACCTAGAGGCCAGGTGGGTGGTGCATGCCTTTAATCCCAGCACTTGGGAGTCAGAGACAGGAGGATCACTGTGAGTTTGAGGCCAGACTGTATCTACAAAACAAGTTCCAGGACAGCCAGAGCTACACAGAGAAACCCTTGACTTCAAAAACTAAAAAAGCAATTAAAATAATGTAGAAAATAATGGAGTGAGACACCTGATATTAATCTCTAGCTTCCACTTGCACATACATAGCCAAGTATAGCTGCAGACAAATATGCGTATGCATGTATCACATACACACACACACACACACACACACACACACACACACACACACACACACACACACACGTGGATTGGGGAGGGGGAGGAAGGGGAAGGAGGAAAGGAGAGGAGGGAGGGGGAAGAAAAGAGAGAGAAAGCAGGTGCTGGAGAAATTCAAAAGCAGAGACAAAAGAAATCAAAAAGAATTTTTAAGAAGATAGAATAAAATGAAAACACAAAATCAATGAGGACAACTGAGAGCTCTAAGTGCTTATATTAAAATCTTAGAGATTTCAAGTAACAATGCTCCTTTGAGGCGTGGAACACCAAAAAATAAGCCAAATGTAAAAATCCACAGATGAAGTAATTAAAGTCAGGGCACAAATCAATTAAATGGAATGAAAAAATATATACAACAAATCAATGAAACCAAGAGTTAGTTCTTTGAAAAGATAAGCAATAATGAGAAAAACAAAACCAAGCTTACCCGAAGAATAAAAAAGAGTTCAGTTTTTGCAGATATTGTCACAGTCTTCATGATTTCAAATGTAAGTAAACAAACCCTTTTATGTCTGGAAATAGCTGTTTCTTTGGAGTCACCCCATACATCTGACCCTTTCAATCATTCTGCCTCCTATTCCCATACAGATAGCCTGAGCTCAGAGGAGAGTAGTGTGGTAAAAATTTCCCATTTAGGGCTGATTGCTCCAAAGTCTCTTACTCTCTGCATGTTTTCCCGTTGTTCTCTGTATTAGTGAAGAAGCTTTTCTGATGAGAGTTTAGCTGTAGATATCACCATGAGTGAAGTAACTCAGACCTAGAAAGACAACCTTTTGCATAGTTTTTCTTTTTTTAATTTCTTTCAAATTTACTCTTCTGTCATATATTACATTACAATCACAGTTTCCCCTCCCTCCTCTCCTCCCAGTTTCCTCCATTCCCCCCCCCCCAATCCACTCTTTCTCCATTTCTTTTCAGAAAAGGCCAGGCCTCCCAGGGATATCAACTAAACATGGTATATCAAGTTACAATAACACTAGGTACCTCCTCCCCTATTAATGCTGGACAAGTGGGATAACTGATAATAAAGGCCTTTTGAAAAGCCATGTGGGCTAGGTAGTGGTGGCGCACGCCTTTAGTCTCAGCACTGGGGAGGCAGAGGCAGGCGGATCCTAAAACTTATACATATATAAATTGAATTTAAATGAAATTATCATATAATGAAGGGGACAATGTCCCAACTAGACATTATGTACTACCAAATAAACTTTCAGTACTAGGAAATAGGTTACATCCTTTTTGAGCTATTGTTATACCCTCCCCCACCAAAAAAAAAAAAAAATTACAGGCTATTGTCAATGTTATTGGTAACCCTCCACAAACTGACAGTAAAACCCCATCGCTGAAGATACCATAAACTGCTATCATCAGATATGGAGGAATTGAGGTGGTGCTCAGCTAGAAGGTTCACCCCTACCAACTAGTGTTCATAGTACTGAATGATGCTATACATGCTATCAGAGGAGAAAAGTTATCTCCAAATTCACCTGTCCATAAATCTTGTGATCTACAACAGCAAGTTGCCTGCAAGATATACCCATTGGTGCAAAAGTGGTACAAATGTTATGAGAGTAACTAACCACTTTCTTACTGGATGTAAGGCCAACTCCATGATATGGAACTCATATCTAACACTGTTAAGACGCCAAAAACATAAGACCAGATATATCATGGTCCTTAATGGAAAATGTACTACTAGTCTTCTTATAAACAAACATAGAAACAAAATGACTCCTAATGCCATATAGCTATAACTATATATATATCAGTATATAGATCTACAACGAAAAATTTAAAACACCATAGGAAATTAACTAAGTCATCCTATACTCATGAATTGAGTTTTCAAAATAGCTATATACTTCAAAAAACAATCTATAGATTCAATGCATTCCTAAGAAATATCCATGTACCATTTATACATTAATAAGAAAACTGATTTTAAGATTCATGTGGCCAGTCAGTAGTGGCGCATGCCTTTAATCCAAGCACTCGGGAGGCAGAGCCAGGCAGATCTCTGTGAGTTCAAGGCCAGCCTGGGCTACCAAGTGAGTTCCAGGAAAG